GGCCTCACCTCAGTGTGGCTCCAGGCCTCAGTGTGGCTCCAGGCCCCAGTGTGGCTCTAGGTGGCTCCAGGCCTCAGTGTGGCTCTAGGTGGCTCCAGGCCCCAGTGTGGCTCTAGGTGGCTCCAGGCCTCAGTGTGGCTCCAGGCCCCAGTGTGGCTCTAGGTGGCTCCAGGCCTCAGTGTGGCTCCAGGCCCCAGTGTGGCTCTAGGTGGCTCCAGGCCTCAGTGTGGCTCCAGGCCCCAGTGTGGCTCTAGGTGGCTCCAGGCCTCAGTGTGGCTCTAGGTGGCTCCAGGCCCCAGTGTGGCTCTAGGTGGCTCCAGGCCCCAGTGTGGCTCCAGGCCCCAGTGTGGCTCTAGGTGGCTCCAGGCCTCAGTGTGGCTCTAGGTGGCTCCAGGCCCCAGTGTGGCTCTAGGTGGCTCCAGGCCTCAGTGTGGCTCCAGGCCTCAGTGTGGCTCTAGGTGGCTCCAGGCCCCAGTGTGGCTCCAGGCCCCAGTGTGGCTCCTGGCCTCAGTGTGGCTCTAGGCCTCACCTCAGTGTGGCTCCAGGCCTCAGTGTGGCTCCAGGCCTCATCTCAGTGTGGCTCCAGGCCTCACCTCAGTGTGGCTCCAGGCCTCACCTCAGTGTGGCTCCAGGCCTCACCTCAGTATGGCTCAGGGCCTCAGTGTGGCTCCAGGCCTCAGTGTGGCTCCAGGCCTCACCTCAGTGTGGCTCCAGGCCTCAGTGTGGCTCCAGGCCTCAGTGTGGCTCCAGGCCTCACCTCAGTGTGGCTCCAGGCCTCAGTGTGGCTCCAGGCCTCACCTCAGTGTGGCTCCAGGCCTCAGTGTGGCTCCAGGCCTCAGTGTGGCTCCAGGCCTCACCTCAGTGTGGCTCCAGGCCTCAGTGTGGCTCCAGGCCTCAGTGTGGCTCCAGGCCTCACCTCAGTGTGGCTCCAGGCCTCAGTGTGGCTCTAGGCCTCAGTGTGGCTCCAGGCCTCACCTCAGTGTGGCTCCAGGCCTCACCTCAGTGTGGCTCCAGGCCTCAGTGTGGCTCCAGGTCTCACCTCAGTGTGGCTCCAGGCCTCACCTCAGTGTGGCTCCAGGCCTCAGTGTGGCTCCAGACCTCAGTGTGGCTCCAGGCCTCACCTCAGTGTGGCTCCAGGCCTCAGTGTGGCTCCAGACCTCAGTGTGGCTCCAGGCCTCAGTGTGGCTCCAGGCCTCAGTGGCTCCTGGCCTCAGTGTGGCTCCAGGCCTCACCTCAGTGTGGCTCGAAGACTCAGTGTGGCTCCTGGCCTCAGTGTGACTCCAGGCCTCCGTGTGGCTCCAGGCCTCACCTCAGTGTGGCTCTAGGCCTCAGTGTGGCTCCAGGCCTCAGTGTGGCTCTAGGCCTCAGTATGGCTCAGGGCCTCAGTGTGGCTCCAGGCCTCAGTGTGGCTCTAGGCCTCAGTATGGCTCAGGGCCTCAGTGTGGCTCCAGGCCTCAGTGTGGCTCCAGGCCTCACCTCAGTGTGGCTCCAGGCCTCACCTCAGTGTGGCTCCAGGCCTCACCTCAGTGTGGCTCCAGGCCTCAGTGTGGCTCCAGGCCTCAGTGTGGCTCCAGGCCTCAGTGTGGCTCCAGGCTTCACCTCAGTGTGGCTCCAGGCCCCAGTGTGGCTCCAGGCCTCAGTGTGGCTCCAGGCCTCACCTCAGTATGGCTCTAGGCCTCACCTCAGTGTGGCTCCAGGCCTCAGTGTGACTCCAGGCCTCAGTGTGGCTCCAGGCTTCAGTGTGGCTCCAGGCCTCAGTGTGGCTCCAGGCCTCAGTGTGGCTCCAGGCCTCACCTCAGTGTGGCTCCAGGCCTCTGTGTGGCTCCAGGCCTCACCTCAGTGTGGCTCCAGGCCTCAGTGTGGCTCCAGGCCTCAGTGTGGCTCCAGGCCTCACCTCAGTGTGGCTCCAGGCCTCAGTGTGGCTCCAGGCCTCAGTGTGGCTCTAGGCCTCAGTATGGCTCAGGGCCTCAGTATGGCTCCAGGCCTGAGTGTGGCTCCAGGCCTCAGTATGGCTCCAGGCCTCACCTCAGTGTGGCTTCAGATTTTAGTGTGGCGCTTGTCTCGTGATCTTCTGGTTCGAATCCACGAGCTGCCTGACCTCCGCTCTACGACACGCCCACCACTGGTACAGGGGATGAACTAATGTGACACACGCCAACACCAACAGGAAGATGTTTACCTGCAACATCACGTGACTGGTCATTGTGTCATGTATCAACTAGCAACAATGTTGATAATAATTTGATCTAATTAATTGACATTTTGATAATAGGCCACAACAAGAAAACTGTAATATTGTTTTGTAATAGGGTGGTTAAGGGATAGATTACTAACCCGAATTTAACAAGAACAGTTTTCTTTCGTATGACAGACTACTCAGGCCTGAAGGGTACCCTAATTAAGCCGGTGAAAGTAAAAAATAGTCTGGGCATAGTGCTGACCACACTATTTCTTCAAATACCCAGGCTAGAGAAACAAATGAACTCTACTTTACCTGCACCATAGACCATCTGGTTTGAAAGTGAAGTTTAGTGGTAACATTTAAATACCATACGTTACTAAATGTACTAATAATATTAACATTGCATGAACATGTGATACATTTTTTAGAAATAAGAATTCAATAAAAAAAAAATGTATCAGAACAATTTTACTGTTAGTATAAAGTGTATTAAAGGACTATTATAAATTAATGTAACTATTATAATGTGTGAATTTTAACTTTTTTTTTTTAAGGCAGTGTTTTGATTTTAAAATTATTCAGGGGACGTAGCCTAATTAAATACTTAATAACAACACAATTATGTTATTGTCTCCCCTGATTTTACGATTCTGCCTAGCTTAGCGAAGGATTTTTGTTCAAGATGCATTAACCTTAACCTAACCGTAAATATAAGTCGAGTTATTTAAACATATTTGCATGTATTGGACGATCTCAGACTTACAGAAACACAAATGTCGCGACTTATAACAAAACTAACACGGGCTTTAGTTTATAAATTTTTAAAATTCTGATAAACTGCACATCTAAAATATTTTAACAGCGTACACTAATGTTAAATAAGCGAATTTTCGATTTAATTTATAACGATTTCTATAAGGAAGTGATTACTCGCGGTAATTTTTTAGCTTAATTGAAAATGATTGTAATTAAGATGAACTCTACTGTACCTGCGAAAGTCCACCAGTCTCCAGCCAAGCAAAGAGGGCGTACTGGAAGAATGAGATGACCCCAGAGGTGAAGATGGCGATCCCAAGCAGACTGCCCAGGTAACAGCTAGGGAATCTGGTGACACAATGGTCGGTGATGGACAACAGTGTTGGACAACATTGATGGATGCTGGACAACATTGTTGGATGCTGTACTACATTGATGGATGATGGACAACAGTGTTGGACAGCATGTTGGTTGATGGACAACGTTAATGGATAACGTTGTTGGAAAACATGTTGGATGAAGGACAACATTGTTTGACGATATGTTTTGTGATGGACAAGATTGTTGGATGATGGACAACGTTGTTGGATGATGGACAATATTGATAAATAGACAACATTGGTATTTGATGGATAACATTGATAGATTATGGACAACGTTTCAGTGTTTCCTCCACTTGAAATTTTCGGGGGGGGGGGGGGGGGGAGCGAACTAAAATTTCTGGGGGGGGGGGGGGGCAGACACAGTTAAACAAATATATTTTCTGTATAAATTCCATTTCGTTCTGGGGTGGGGGGAGTAGACTTTCTACGAGGGGGGGGGGGGGGGGGTAGAATGGCTAGCCACTCTAACTCCCCCCCCCCACCACCCACCCCCGGGAGAGATGCCTGGCCTGGAAGAAACTCTGCAACGTTTATAGATTATGGAAAACATTTGACAGACGATAGACGGACGAACGATGACAGGGGACAATTCCCCCCCAACAAGCCTGTATCTCCCGCCCCGCCCCCCCCCCCCCCTACGTACATGGCAGCGATGTAAGCCGTGTACATAGTGTAGAGAAATGACCGCTGCAGCACCAGGAAGACGAAGAAGGCGTACAGCACCCGGGGGTCGTTGACCAGCAGGAGACTGGACATGATGACGCTGAACACAGTGGTCGCCGCTAGGGGGAGCACTGACGGCATCACCTGACGTCGTACGCTGGACACGCTGTCTGGGGGAGGGAAGTTTGTGTCATTTATGTCACTTGATATCTGACATTTATCTCACTTCATGCCTGTCATTTCTGTCAATTTATATCTGACATTTATATGAAACGTTGTCTGTCATTTGTGTCAATTTATATCTGATATTTATCTCACTTCATGTCTGTCATTTTAAGTCACTTTATAACTGTCATTTGTGTCATAACATTTGAATGTCATCTATATCACACCATCACTAAGTCCACATCAGATTTAAACTAGTTAAATTCTTGAATTGCCCAACATGAGTCGTTAAAAAAAATTCCTTACTGGCAAAGATTTGAGTCAGCCAGGAGTAGAAGAATCCAGCGATGGGGGAGACGAAGATGCCAGTCATCATTGTGTACAACATCACGTTGGTGTAGTGGCTGACTGGGGAGTGAGACATTGTGTACATGAGTCTAGTGTAGTGGTGTACTGGAGTGGGAGGGAGTGTGTACATGGCATAGCATACAGGTGAGATATTGTGTACATGACTGAATGTACAGGTGAGATACTGTGTAAAGATATTATGAGATTACGCCATTCATTTATGCAGTAACCTATAGTACAAATAAATGATAATCTTAACTAAGTAAAGACAAGCCAACTTTAGAAATAAAACTCCAGATTTTAATTGAACTACATTTTAAACACGATCAAGATATATAAAGAATATTTTTTAAATACAGACTAGGACCTCTAAAGGGTTAGGTCCGCTAAGATTGTAGAACCAATCAACTACTCACCTTCAGACTGTGTACTGACCATCTTCTGTAAACTGGTGTTGACCACTCACCTTCAGACTGTGAACTGACCACCTTCTGTAGACTGGTATTGACCACTCACCTTTAGCCTGTGTGTTGACCACCTTCTGTAGACTGATGGTGACCACTCACCTTCAGACTGTGAACTGACCATCTTCTGTAGACTGGTGTTGACCGCTCACCTTCTGTAGACTGGTGTTGACCACTCACCTTCAGACTGTGAACTGACCATCTTCTGTAGACTGTTGACCACTCACCTTCAGACTGTGAACTGACCATCTTCTCTAGACTGGTATTGATTGAGCCCAACACGAAGTAAAATCGGAGCTGAAGACAAGACGCCCACATCACGTGCAGTATAAAGGTCAAGGACAGCACGTGTCTCAACAGGCCCCGGAATGTTCCTGAATCTTCTGTATCTTTCAATTCAGTGATTGTATCTGTGTCAGTCTTTTGCTCCAAGTCCTTTTCTGCTTCCGTCTGTAGCCCTTTGGTCGTGTCTAGTTCTGTGTTTTCTTGTTTGATCTCTGGTATGATACAAGTGTATTTATACTAACAGTGCGGGCATGCAGTGGTCGAGTGATAGAAAGTGTGGTTGCTAAAAGGGAAGTCTCCAGTTCGGTTCTCATTTCGGGTCTATATGGCAGCCCTCGATTCTGGTTCTATTACGGTCGTATTAAATGGTCCAACGCTATGCAATGGCCACAGAAATAGTTTAAATCACTACTTAGCGTTAGTTCTCCAGATTATTTTAAACTTTTTCTTCTACATACAAAACTTCACAAATATATGTCAGAATGAATGTTACTGAGATTAACCTTAAAATGTACAAGAGGTTATCAACTCGAAGGCAATTTAGCTCTCAGCTATGTTGATAAGCTGTGTATGTTTACTGAAATAATGTTGCTTTATTTTAGCTCAAGGCGTATACGACAATGGCGGCTGACAACTTAGAGTATAAAAAGGGGGGGGGGGGATAATGTTAGGCTACAGATGGCATCACAGTCATGTCATAAACACTCTTTCACTCACTACTCACAAAGTCCTGCTGGTGTAGGGTCCTAACGTTCACTCACAAAGTTCTGGGGTAAAGGTCACTTACCAGTCACGTGGTCCTGGGGTTAGGTCACTTACCAGTCACGTGGTCCTGCTGATGTTTGCGGATAAAATCCTTGGGGTAAAAGAACAAGGTGGAGACGAGGACGAACACCTGAGAGCAGGCGACGATGACGTAAGACGTCCGTCTGCTGATTCCACTCTCGTATCCAAACTAAAATAACAGACAACGAACTGAGTAAAGTGACTTGTGTAAACATTGAGAACACATACTTTACGCGATCTAATAACTACTTTAACTACCCAGATCTAGAACCCACCTTTACCATCCAGATCTAGATACCACCCAAGATTTGAACCCCCCATCACCACCCAAGATGTGAACCCACCATCACCACCAAAGATTCGAACCCACCTTGACCATCAGTTGAATGCCAGACGACGTATCAAACGCGCCATTGAGAAAGCCAATGACCACAGATCCTCCCAGCGGGAACAGGTGGGCCACTTGTACGCAGGTGAGGTACATGGCCACACCCCCAAAGCCAATCAAGGTCAGCCCAGGGTAGGCCAGCCAGGGCAACTCTTTGAAAAAATATATACAATTATTGATGTTATTATTCTTTGATGTACTGCACTTCGATCAGATTATGTCAAACAAAGTAATAAGATTACATTAAAATAGGTTTTTTTTATCTAACTACTTATGTCAAACAAAGTAATAATATTACATTAAAATAGTTTTTTTATCTAACTACTTATTGTGCAGTTGAAGTAGATTTCACGTGTATTTTAACTCGGAATATGAAGGGATTATTTTCCACAAGTTACGCTAAAATCGCAAAGATATTCCCCCAACTTTGGCCGAGAACACAATATGCTGAGTTGGCTCAGCGGCCTTCAACACGTCAGATACACCATAAAGGTGAGTGGGGCTAAACCAGCTTACAATAAAAATTAACAGTGAATTTATCGATTACTAACCCAGAACTGATGTGATAAAATACATATAAAACACTGATTAACAATGTAATTAACTAAACAAATTATGCCGTTACACCACAAACCTTTCGACGTGAAGGCTAACATTAAGGCCCCACTAACATAAAATAATCTGAAAATAAATAATTTAATCGTTGGATGTAAGGTAATAAAAATACACACAAAAAACATGTTTAAAAACCTTTGTAAAAAAAGGGAAGACAAAAAATGGTGTACACCTGATGTACAAGATTAGACAGCAAATATCCCTTCCTCCCTTTTACTCATTCCCCTCCCCCTTTTAATCATTCCCCTCCCCGAAATTTTACTTATTCCCCTCCTCCAATTTTACTCATTCCCCTCCTCCAATTTTACTCATTCCCCCCTCCCCCAATTTTACTCATTCCCCTCCCCCAATTTTACTCATCCCCTTTCCTAATTTTACTCATTCCCCCCTCCCCTATTTTACTCATGTCCTAACACACTCACATACGAACTTTGGGACCGAATAAAATAACTTGTAAAATTGTATTGTTAGTTAAATGTTTTCAGCTAAAAAATGTTGTAAAGATGCGATCTATGGACCAAATTGTGGGTCAAATTTGTTGCTAGTAGAAACACTAAAACGTCGATATTCTGAGGGTCGTAGGTGATTTGATGGTGAAGTCTTTCTTAACACTTCACATTTCACGTAAGCGGAAAGAACTTGAGAGTTTATAAAATAAATTAAAACTGTAAGAACCATCGTGTCAATCTCCTATTTAACCCAAATGTCAGCCTGAGCGAACGTACGAGAGAAACTTTGTCGATTCATTTATTTCTAACAGCGCCGGCATTAAAACGTCATCGTCACCTACTCTAGAACCAATCAACCATGCATGAATGTCGCTACGCTTGAATTTAGTGCGACTAAACATGTCAAGCGCACTCAAGTTCTCGTCGTCGGTCAAAGTTCGTTGAATATTTTAATCTGGAGACTGGCCTTCCATAAAATAGGACACGTGACCTTTTCAAGCAGTTAGGACATTGTGTATCTGGAGATCGGGCTTTATTAAAGTAGGACACTTGACCATTTAGGACATTGTGCAGAGCTGAGGTACACAAATGAAAAATGTGTAGTGTATTGAAGTATTTGTAAAACCTCAAACATGTATCGATTTAAAAAAAAAACTGTGTTTACATATAAGGGTTGAAAACTTATTTGTAGCAAAATGTCACGTCAGGGAAATTTTTGAACTGCTAAAGGACATGCACTACCCACTATCACCCTACACTAACGTTAACCCCGACAAATTTTCCTTTTACTTAAGCTATAAACGAAAATTACACAGTAGCACAGTACAAACTCACATAACAGAATAAACCGCTGTCTGTTTCGCAATTATAACATCTGAGAACAGAGTAAACTCTAACCGTACATGCCGATAAACCGGGTGGTCCTTGTCCCAAACTTGAAAAAAAACTGTCCCAACACATGTACACAGTAACCTCTAACCCCTACATGTACACATTAACCTTTAACCCCTACATGCCGATAAACCGGGTGGTCCTTGTACCAAACTTGAAAGAAAACTGCCCCAACACAATGCTGATCAAATTGTACAGAGATGAGGCGATGGTGAAGATGGCGGCCAACTTAGAGTCCTGCTCAAGGCAGCCGCTACTTTTGACAGTGTCTTCTGTAGTGTTTCTGGGGAGAGTGTCGTTATGTTCTATAGGCTTAAGGCTAATTGAACACTCATGGCTATGCAAGTTATCCAAGTAAATTTTAAAACAGCTTTAAATGAATATTCCCTTGTAATGAAAGTATAGTGTTGTAACTTTTTTTATTTTGTGCAACGATTTGTATTAAAATGACCGTTTTTCTAGCTTGATGTACTTTACAAACACATTTTTAATGGAGTCAGCTGTTTTGTTTGTTTTCCCCAATTTGCATCGAATTTTTTTTCTATTCAAGTTCAGTTATTTTTTTGTTTACATATACCATACTCACAAAATAACAATAAGTTTTATATGACTTTTTTTTAGATAACTAGTAATGTACCAAGCCAAGCTTCATCTCCAAGTTTTGATTCGAAACTGTTTTGTGTAGCTACTGGTTACATACGTAAAGCTTTTTTTAAAAATTGGTTTCAGTGGTTATTTAATTAGATTAATTAATACAAGCAAATATAAATAATATTTATAACGTACACGTACCTTGTGACATTGGAATCTGTAGAGCCGTTGTGGGGCTGGTCGACGCACAGATCCGAGTAGATGCCCTCATCTTTTAAAATATACACCAGCGAACCCCACCCCTGTAAAAGCCCACAAAAGCCCAAACATTCTAGGAAAGCCCAAATGGCGTAAAGAAATCTCAGCCTTGTGTTGAATTTAAAAAACATTTTCCTGAAGCAGTTCGTCTGTCGTCTGATGACTGACGTAATGCGGCTGAGTTATGTTGTCGTCTGTCGTCTGCCGTCGGTCGTCTGATGAGTGACGTAACGCGAGTTATACTATAACCGCTACGACCCAGCAGATGTTGATTCAGGCACAGCACTTGGTTTGTGCAACCAGCTGAACCACAAATTCTCACCGAGTGATCTCATCTTCCTGAGCAACAGGGCCACATTGAATCAACTCGAATCACACTTTGTCTAACTCACTCTAGTCGAATCACACTTTGTCTAACTCACTCTAGTCGAATCACACTTTGTCTAACTCACTCTAGTCGAATCACACTTTGTCTAACTCACTCTAGTCGAATCACACTTTGTCTAAGTCACTCTAGTCGAATCACACTTATTCTAACTCACTCTAGTCGAATCACACTTTGTCTAACTCACTCTAGTCGAATCACATCAACCGTTGTCACACAGACCCATGGATGGTCCGCCGGGACTCCAAAAAAAAAAAACCAGTGGGATGAAGAAACGTTTATGCTTGTATTTACTAAAAATTAAAATAATGTGTACTCTTCCATTTTTAATGTTATTATATTTTGTAATCTGTTAACTAGGCCTAGCAAGTTTAGACTCAGGCAGACCGGGCTCTTGATGGGAAAAATTCAAATTAAATGTAAGTCAGAGTGGGGGGGGGGGGGGGCAAATTTGCAAAATTATGTTTACCTGACTGAAGGAGGTGTAAAACGTCGAGACTTTTGAAAAATCTCGATTTTGTTTTTTCTTTGCACGATTACAATACTTCATCTATGGGGTCAACCATAAATGACGTCACGCTTTTTTTGACGATTTTTACATTCCCCCCTCCCCTCCGTCACACGTCGTCACAAGAAGCTAGACCCCCATCCCCCGAATGACGTCACATTTCAGCCTACACCCCCCCCCCCCCCGCCTCAAAATTGCAGTTGAACTGTTTTTTAAACATCGATATTTTTCCAAAATCTTGTCTGAACTCTGTTAAAATAGAGTATTTTAATCAATTCCTATTCCAATTTATTAAAACAGTTTTCTAAAACGCAAAATAACGTCTAAAATTCGTTTTCTAACATTGCTTCTTTATAATGCAAAAGTGTGACGTCGCACCATCTAACCCCCCCCCCCTCCCCCTCATCACACACCATCACAAAATTATGGACCCCCCCTCCCCCTACCTGTGTGACGTCATTTATGGACGACCTCTATACTTCGTATAAGAGAAAGTAAAAATTAAAAAAAATGAAAAACAAACAAATAAAATTAGGTAGCAGCTGAATCAAAACTTTAACAAAATTTTAATTTAGAAGATATTTTACATGTGCGCAATATAGCAAGAATCGGCTAAAATACAGCCAAAGTATTTTGCTTGCAACTGTAATACTAATCTAACAAAATATTATCCTACATTGTATATAGACCTGTTGTAAAGACAAACACACATTTCGTCGCTTTGATTCGCTAGTCACATCACGTGGGTAAATTCGAGTGTGTTAGACTGAAAGGCATTTAAAAAAAAAACATATTGAGTGTTCTCCGCTTTCCGCTGTTCAAATAATATTTTTTGTATTTTTTCTTTTACAGAAATACGCCTTTGGCAACGAAACTTTGAATATTTATTTTAAAGATAGAAGACATGTTGACTTTTCAGAATCGTGTATGCAGTGTTTCTCTCAAACTTTTTTCTCGGGGGGGGGGGGGGGTGACACTGGTAAAAAAATATATTTTTTATATAAATTTTATTTCGTTTGGAGCACCCCCCCCCCCCCCTTGATATAGTGCACATCATGCCCGCAAGTAAAACATCTACACCTGAGAATAAGCAATGCATGTTCAAGTTCCCTTCTCTGTTTGTGTACGTTATGTTTAAAACTTGCAGCAAGGAAGAGGCAATAATGGTCTAGGTCAGTGGTTCTTAAATTTTTTGGAGGTACCGAACCCCACCAGTTTCAAATGTGTATTCACCGAACCCTTTTTAATAGTTCTATTGTCAGCACTGACAATATTCGATCGTGAATCATATGAGTCGGGTGTGTGTCTTGACCTCCGCCGAATCCCTGAGACTGACTCACCGAACTCCAGATGTTCGATCGAACCCAGGTTAAGAAACCACTGGGCAAGGATTAATGTCTTTATACAGGTGGTCGCTCAAAAACACAAACACCGACTAACGTATAAACAATATGCATCCATGTGTTTACGCCGATGTTAATGTATTCGCGCAACAGAAAAATTGTAAGCCTACGATACATAACTACAGGTGTTAGAAAAAAGGCCGACATCCAAAAGACCGATTCGATGAAAGGTCGACAGCAAAAAAGGCAGAGACCCTAAGGGCTAAATATTTATGTTTAAAAAAAAATACGTATCTTTCGGTCTTACTTACAATCGGTCTTTTTTGTGTCGGCCTTATATATATCGGCCTTTTTTCCTGTCGGCCTTTTATTTTGTCGGCCTTTTGCCTACTCGGCATTTTGTGCGTCGGTCTTTTGCCCATGTCGGCCTTTTGTCAGTCGGTCTTTTGTCCATATCGGCCTTTTGTCTGGTTCCCCACTTCTACATCCAACTGTATGACTCAAATAAACATTTCAACTGACGTTCTCCCAGCTAAGTTGACAAAAGCCACCCAGAGCCGTCTAGACTGCCATCCTTTTGTGCTGGTTAAGATTCGTCAGGACAGCAGTTTACTATAGAGGCGAGGCACATGCCTCTCACAGGTCTAGATGTTAAGTAAATTTCGTACATGCTTAACCGAGTGCATATAAAAAAAAACCTTTGTAGGTGTGTATGTATGGGTGGATGTCTCCAATGTAATTCAACGGTAGAATAACCTAGGTAGGTGTGTATGTATGGATGTCACTAATGTAGTTCAACCGTCAAGACCATATTAGCTCATTTTAGCGAACATTATTAACATAACATGATTTGAATTTTTTTTTCAAGGTGTTTTTTAAAACTGTAGTGAACGTTTTTTCGTTTAATAACTTCCCCGGTTATTTTTTTAAGCGAAATCTATTACAGTATGTAGATAATGTCAAAATATTACATGATATTACATCTTATTACATCGTATTTCATCTTACCTTTTTATTTTAACTTATCCTGAGAAGTTTTCTTATTACGTCTTACAAAATGTCGCTAGGCTACTCGTGGAGGAGTCGTTCTGGAATTATTTCAAATTTTTAAAAATCTCAGCAGTTATAGAAGCTGGCAGGTTAATATTTAAATATTTTTTGTTAGTCTGTATTTAGTTTTGACTGAAGGTTTTTCTTTTTTTTGCTTTTGTTTTCATTTCGTTCGCGTGTCATAGAATATGACGTCACTATTGCAAAGACAACAAGGGATACGTTGTTTTTTGTTTTTAATTTTTGTTGTTTTTGTTGTTGCTTTTTCTAAATTACAGGCTCATTTAATTTTAATTTCATTAACTTGGATTTGAAAATATTTTTCTATTTACAATCCTCGTCAAAAAAATAATTTATTAAGGTGCCATACAACACTTGGACTGTATGTAAAATAAATCTTAACTATCAAGGGAGCGAAGTGTAAAAAACATTTTAAAAATAAAACTTAAGGAGTTGTAACCCTTTATTCATGAACGCAAAAAAAACCCTCAAAAGTTACTTGCAAAAGGATGAAAAAGATAAAAAAAAATATTTTTGCTAATATTTTTCAATACCGAAAAAAAACAAGGTTGAATCTCTTTTCTAGACGGATCTTTGAAGTGTTATGATCATGGAACTGAGCATAGAATTTTAAACACTGTGATACTCAGTCCCCTTATGTTCACGATAATTAAGGTTAGAGACAGTCTCACAGCGTAAAACATATCATCCATCCCTGTGACTCTACAGCTTATGACGTGTTTTGGCTTGCTTGACCGTGTGCATGTCATGATATGTGTCTTCTTCTTTCGTGTCATTGAAATATGATGGAAGTAAATGTATGAACAGGAACTAAAATATGAACAGGAATTAAAATATGAACAGGAACTAAAAAAATGAACAGAATCTAAAAATATGAAGAGGGCCTAAAAAAGAATAGGGTCTAAAAATAAATATAAACCGGGAGCGATCTCCCCTAAACTTTCTCGAATATTCTTTTATAAAAAAACAGGGGATGGGAACTCGGGATATAGACATGAATTTTAATCCATTTTAAATACTTGAACTTTTTAAAATACAATAAAATCTCGTAGAAAAAAGAATTGCACACCTGTGAACGCCAAATAAAACGTGCATAATAGTGCGGAATATTGTTAGTACTTTATAAATTTACATTCGTTTTTTGAGAAATCGGAAATAGCGTAAATTAGTACTTTCAATCAACGGAAGTTACTCAAAATTTGACAGAAGGTAGAGAATTAAATCTTTTACTTACATGTGAAATTTCATTTATCTATCTGAAACAGTTTTCAAGTTATAAGCTTTTTAAAAATTCAAAGTAGAAAAAGTACCACTTCCGGTTATCGGAAATCGCTCAAAAGTTGATCAGGATCTACGAATTTGATAAAATACTTATATATGAAATTTCATCAACCTAGCTGTAACGGTACTCAAGTTATCGTGTTTACACACACACACACACACACACACACACACACACGCACACACAGACATACGGACAGAATTGCAAAGTCCAGTTTTTAAGTCGCTGTTACTGGCATTCTTTGACCAAAAAAAAATATATTTTCCAGTAATACCCTTGTAAATTTTGAAATTCTGGCATTATCTAGAATTAAAACGGCTCAATATTTCGACCAATGTGGCAAGTGAACGATTGTTTATTACACTGTTCACGCTACACAACCGTGCAGGGAGATAATAACCCCGTTAAGTGTTGTTGACGCAAGTAGGTCAGCTATTTTTGGCTCCATAGTCATACGACAAGCCCTTGTAGTTCACATGACTAACTCGAATTGGCTGATGAAACTGGGTTAAAGTTCATTTGCCAGGTTTAACTTGTAGAGCTATTTTAAAAATAAATTTAATTTAAAAGTTTAAACAACTTTCAATTTAGTATTTTAGTGCAGCAAGAAAACTTAATGATTTTTATTTTAGTAAATAGATACTTTTTTCAAAGTATAACAAACTTTGTATTACTTACTTTATATAACATTGGGTAGTAAAAAGTTTGGTTGAAAATGGGAAAAAATCTGGCATAAGTCACAGTCACCCTGTATAAAAGCCCTAGATTATGACATCAGACCACTGCGTACACGATTTTTTTACGTCAACATTTAAGTTAACATACTGTACAAGCTTTTAGTCTACTGTATATTGGTGTTTGACAAGTCTACATACATTTATATACGCTCTAAGTCTGTTGGTGTATTATACCCATACTGAGCTGTAACATCTGAGAAATATAAACTCATCATACCACGTGAACGATGGCGGGTTCAAAACCTGACGTGGATAAAATAATTGAACAACTCCTATCTGGTACGCCCCCACCTCTCCCCTCACAAACACACACACACACACACATTCGAACTCACATGCCCTTTGGTTTGGTATGAAACATCAGTATATATTACCCTAAACATTGGGTCTAATGGGGCGTGGGACGGTTAAACCACTTGTGAGAGATTAGGGATATTAAAAAGTCAAATGTTTGGGGTTATGTAAGATCTGAAGTATTGTGCTAAGGTTTTTTTTCTGCGCGTAACTTGTCCAACTTTACATTATGTAAAACAAAACTCTATCAAAATACAATTTTATTACATAATTTTATTTAATCACTGGTTTAAACGAGTTGATTAATGTTATTTTTATTTTATTTCAGTGAAGAACAACAGACCAGGCAAGGAAGTTCGTCTATCCCTCGATGACGTCACATTCCTGCTGGACACGGTCAAGCCCATCCTGCTGGGCCAGCCTATCTTGCTGGAACTGGACGCCCCCCTGACCATCTGTGGCGACATCCACGGCCAGTTCTACGATCTGCTGCACCTGTTTGAAATCGGTGGCTTCCCGCCCGAGACGAATTATCTTTTCCTGGGGGATTACGTCGACAGGGGCCACAACTCCGTAGAAGTGATGTGTCTACTGTTTGCGTACAAGATCAAATACGAAGTGAATTTTTTTCTTCTCCGCGGCAACCACGAGTCTCCATCCATCAACCAGATGTACGGGTTCTACGCCGAGGTAAAGCGGCGCTACAATATCAAACTCTGGAAGAAATTCAACGAAGTGTTTGATTGCCTTCCTTTAGCTGCTGTTGTTGACGATAAGATTTTTTGCTGTCATGGCGGCTTGAGTCCAGAGTTAACGTCCCTGAGTCAAATTCGCCGCATTAGCCGCCCGCTAGAGGTCCCTGACGAAGGTCTCGTCACGGACCTGCTCTGGGCCGACCCTCACCCTGACCCCGCCGCACGCGGCTGGCACTACAATGACGTCAGGTGTACGTCATACATGTTCGGCGTGGACACGGTGGAGAAGTTTCTAGAAAACAACGACCTTGAGCTGGTTTGCCGCGCGCATGACGTCCGACCGGACGGGTACGATTTTTTCGGCAAGCGGCAACTGGTCACGGTGTTCTCGGCACCGAACTACAGTTTCCAGGAGAACTGCGGCGCCATCATGACCGTCAGCGCCGACCTGGAGTGTGCATTCAAGATACTCAAACCTCTCAACAGGAAGCCCATCTATCGCTACGAGGGGGGACTGAGGACGGGGGGTAAAGGATTCGGCCAGGAGAAAGCTGGTTCTAGAGACTCGGACAGGAATACGAGACGGGAGCCACGTGACCTGGGTCCTGGTGACATGCAAGACGGGAGACTCACAAACACTGGGAGCCCCGAAAACAGAACTGAAGGCCCCGAAGATAAAAATACCGGGAGTACAGATGACCTTCACCTTTTGCATGCAAGACAGGAACCAGGTGACGTCACAGAAGACACGCCTGTTCAGACCAGCCTGAGTCGCAGACACACCTTCAGCGAGGGTGTCGTTAAAATCAGCACGACCTCGTTCTGGGAGCGGCGGCTCAAGTCGAGGCTCGTACAACGACCCAACAGTGTATCTAACTAGCTATAGCCACGGGCATGTTACAATAGTGACTCTAACGAGAAGCTGAACTGCTGCTGTGTGTTTATAAGGTAGATGTGATGCGGTTTTTGACAGTATTATGTGTGAAGAAACCGAACAATTTTCAACTGTGTCTGAAATCTGACTAATGTATTAGTGCTATGTTTTTCATATATTTTTTTCTCAAATTATTTAGACAAGGTAGGTTAATGATTTTTTGTAATGTAATTATTTATGTCGTTGATTTAAAAAGCATCGGTATTTCTTGAGATGGTGCTTCCAGTCACCAGAATATGTGCCCGCGTCTCTAGAACATGTGCCCATGTCAGGGTCTAAGTCTCCAGAACATGTGCCCGTTAGTCTAAGTCTCTAGAACATGTGCCCGTGTCAGGGTCTAAGTCTCCAGAAAATGTGCCCGTTAGTCTAAGTCTCTAGAACATGTGCCCGTGTCAATGTCTGAGTCTTCAGAACATGTGCCCGTTAGTCTAAGTCTCTAGAACATGTGCCCGTGTCAATGTCTGAGTCTTCAGAACATGTGCCCGTTAGTCTAAGTCTCTAGAACATGTGCCCGTGTCAATGTCTGAGTCTTCAGAACATGTGCCCACGTCAGTTACGGAGATTAGTATCCAGAATATGATCCTAAGTGGGGCTCTCTGATTAATTAATGTGTATTTCGCCAACATGATCTGAATTATACATATATTGTTAACGAGTTTAAAACCCGTGATATTTGCTAAAACGATTTATTGTTAATGTTGTGAAAGAAGTATTTTAAATCCGATTTTATTACAATGTTTACCTAAATTAATTTATTTTCTATATTAAATTATGTTTTTTTTTTACTGTTTTGTTGTACTAAATAAACATCTTTCAACGTCGATAACGTTTTGTAGTTATTTGCTAATTACCAAGATTGACTTAAGATAAAATGATATCTTATGTCAACATACTCGACGTCATCATAAACTAAATTGTGTGTATGTGCAGCTGTGTGTGCTTTATGTGTATGTTTACCAATCTGTACATGCTTCATGTGTACCAGCATTTACATAATTTTTTAATGTGTAAAAGTGTATAAATACGTTTTATTTGTACTAGAGTTTACATGTATTTTATGTAAACCATCGTGTACCTATGTTTGACGTGTATCCGATTATAAAATTGTTTTGTGTTTACCAGTATGTACATGTATTTTTATGTACCAGTGTTTTATGTGAACTAATGTGTACACGAGTTTTTTCTCAACCTTGGTGAATTTAAGAAGATCGATAGTTTAAGGGAGACAACTGCAATAATCTCTATTTAAATAAATCATTTTCCGATTTATCTCCCTTATTAGTTTAAATATATTTTTCAACATCTCCATAATAAGACACGATATAATTGATGCAAACTTTTTTGTTAATAATTTTTAAAAAGTAGACACGTGTACGTAAGCTTCTGACAAAGAACTCCATTTATAAAGTCCAGACCTTTATAAACAACCACCTCAGACAAATAGTCAGGATACGCTGGGCAGACATCATCAAAAACTCAAACCTATGAGCAAACGACAGGACAACTTTCCGAAGATGAAGAAGTTAGAAAACGAAAATGGAGTTCAACAGGGCACACACTGCGCAGACCTCGAACCAATATTTCCAATCAGGCATTGAGGTGGGACCCACAAGGAAAACGCAAAAGAACTCGACCAAGAAACACCTTAGACTAAAACAACAAAGATGGGCTTCACCTGGTATCAACCAGATTGAGAAGATGGCACAGGACAGAGGACAGGATGGAGATCTTTAGTTGGCGTCCAATACCCCAGCAGGATAGAAGACAATGGAGATCTTTGGTTGGCGGCCCAAACTCCAGCAGGTGTGACGAGTAGTAATGATGATGACGTCAACTTCTAAATTGTAATATTTAATGTATAAACAATTGTAAAATCATATATTCGTATGTACATCCCGAATAGAAATATGACCGGCTGAACTGAACATGTATATGTATGATACACTGTATTAGAATAGTCCTGCGATTTCCAAACTCAGGGACTTAAAATTGATTATGGTTATGGTTATTCATTATCAACATGAATAAATTGGTAGCCGTTAAATTCAGAACAAGGAACATGTGTTGTTCCCGACAGCGCCCCGCAACACCCCCTCACACCTAGGGTGTGCTCTGACTCACTATTACTGAGGGTGATTAACCCACACTCGAGGCTTTCAAACAGGTCGCCCTGTGGCGGTAGTGTGACAAACCCGAACAGTAACAACTATCATCCAAGAAATATAGCGCAGACATTGTTTACATTTAAACATCTTAGTTTTACAAAACAAGGTCACGTGTTAAAAAATACACGATTGATGAAAAGTGGGCGCCTGTGGAGAGGAGGAGATTGTCAAAAATTCAGATTTTCCATAAATGCAAGACAAGACCCTTAATACTATTCGTGGTAAAAGAGTTCTAAATAATGTTCAATATCAAGATGTGTCAAAGTGTATAAATCTATATATATATAATTCTCTTCTTGGAGACGATAGAAAACACCAAGCTGTAATCGCGCCTCCTAGCAGCCCCCTCTCTTCCTCTCTAGGCATATCCCTACCACCCCACCCCCCACATGGTCTGGTGTGCTGTGGTTCACGCTAAATGTTTACAATCGTAGAGCCGGGTTTAGTGACGCCTATTAGGGGCAGACCAGATAATTTAGTTTGAAACGATTTTAAACTTAGGGGAGGTAACTAAGAGGAGGCTGCTTTCACGGGGGAGGGGGGGGATTGGGGAAAGCAGGGTTTTAGTGTTTTAAAGCAAATATTTTCAGTGGCAGCATTCAAATTATGAATTACTGAAAAGTAGAAAATAAAACAACTAAATAGAGGCGCATGATTTGCCGCGGGTCGGCTCGTGTATTATATCACACTAAATCCTTCTAACCTCCCCATCCCATGTAGAAAGACTACAATTAAATTTTACATAAGAGGATACAAATTTGGGATTGCTAATACAATCAGGCTTAGTTTAACCTGGAACTCTTGTAGTCAAACGGGTAAAGCCCTTTCCCTCTTTCTATAAAGCTGTATACTAACCAGAAGTGGCCCATGGGCCTATCGTATTAAGCACCAAATCAGTATTTTGACTTAGTTGTATACTTTCTAAAGTCTTTCTCTCTTAGCTGTGAAGTGACCGACTGATGAGTGACACTAGCAGTATTTTGGCTATGCCGACAGACTATCTAGTTGAGACACTCGCTAATCCTTAAGCTACGTCCCAGGTTTGCTCAAGTGTTAAGTGACGTGAGTTGACGTCAGGCTACGGCTGATGCTTGTTTAAAAATTTACCGTGTGTTTAAAGAAGAACGGTTAGAGTTTACATGAGACAGCGGAGTCGTTTCTACTGACTGGTTGCTGTCTTAGTGTTGTCTCTGCTGTCTTAGTGCTGTCTCTCTTCCCTGCTGTCTTAGTGCTGTCTCTCTTCCCTGCTGTCTTAGTGCTGTCTCTCTTCCCTGCTGTCTTAGTGCTGTCTCTCTTCCCTGCTGTCTTAGTGTTGTCCTTGCTGTCTTAGTGCTGTCTCTCTTCCCTGCTGTCTTAGTGCTGTCTCTCTTCCCTGCTGTCTTAGTGCTGTCTCTCTTCCCTGCTGTCTTAGTGCTGTCCTTGCTGTCTTAGTGCTGTCTCTCTTCCCTGCTGTCTTAGTGCTGTCCCTGCTGTCTTAGTGATGTCTCTCTTCCCTGCTGTCTTAGTGCTGTCCTTGCTGTCTTAGTGCTGTCTCTCTTCCCTGCTGTCTTAGTGCTGTCCCTGCTGTCTTAGTGATGTCTCTCTTCCCTGCTGTCTTAGTGCTGTCCCTGCTGTCTTAGTGATGTCTCTCTTCCCTGCTGTCTTAGTGCTGTCCTTGCTGTCTTAGTGCTGTCTCTCTTCCCTGCTGTCTTAGTGCTGTACTTGCTGTCTTAGTGCTGTCTCTCTTCCCTGCTGTCTTAGTGCTGTCCCTGCTGTCTTAGTGATGTCTCTCTTCCCTGCTGTCTTAGTGCTGTCCCTGCTGTCTTAGTGATGTCTCTCTTCCCTGCTGTCTTAGTGCTGTCCCTGTTGTCTTAGTGCTGTCCCTGCTGTCTTAGTACTGTCTCTCTTCTATGCTCTCTTATTGATGTCTAACTAACGGTCGGGACGGCGTGGTCGAAGGGAAGAGCGTTTGGCTACTTGCTCGAAGGACTCTAGTTCGGATCTCGGTTCGGACTTGAGACTGTAGGACGTCTCTGAGTACACCCAACTCAGTTGGTTACCTGACTTACTTTGGAGAAAGTAAAGATGGCTGGGAATGGTGATGACCACACCATCCCTTCATATACTGATGCTAAAATAGTTAGTACCTCTATTTTATTTGTCCAATGGATCGCTAGGTCTAAAGAAGAAATTTTACTTTCGTTTACTAACTGTGAGGTTTTGAGACTCTGGTTGAATGGTTTATCGAAGTCAAGAAAGATATTGTCTCTAATTGGAAGCACCTTATCACGTATCCAAGAATGTATTTGCTACATGTTTTCTCCTGTTAGACAAGAATAAACAACTTCTTACTAGTCGAGTGTTACATCTCACCTTTGATGCAGTGTCTCAATGTTTATGGTAATTGTTTCACCAGGTGATCCTCAGCATTTGTAATGTTTATTTTAATTAATTATATTAATAGCTAATTAATTAATTAAATGAATAGCATGGTGAAACTGACCATATAAAGCGTCAACGGAAATAAAACTACTTCATGTGACGTCATATCTTTGTCATTTCAATCATTACCTGTTTCACATTCAACGCCCTATAGTCCTTCACCTATAATTGTCTATGGTCATTTACCTTTATATATTGTTACCTTTGTAAGCTACATTTTCTTAACACTAGTCCAGTCATTCGTGGTCACGACTGGAGTCCCAAATTCCCCCATCAAACAGGGCAGTCTAAAACCCGCGAGTGTCCCATACCTGCACGAACACACTTACAAAAACTTTCCAACGACCCGCGGCAGGTGAA